TCGAAAGGCGAGGCTCACCGAGCTATTTATCCCTCCGCCCTTCAATTAATCCCACATGTGTTTATTGGCCAGGTTGGCACAATAAACTAACTCAGCTATGAATTCCTCTTCAGACTCACAGAGCACATGCAATGATGCCGAATACATGAAGATCACAGGCCAGTGGATGGAAAGTCCTGTGGATCCAATGGCAGTGGACGCATCTCCAGGGCACTGACTACCATCAGTGTGACTCTTTGCGGCTTGTCAACAGGAATATATAGCAGAGATAGAGTGTGGTCCACTTCCAGGGAGAAAGAGAGGAAGTTCCCAGAATCTTCATGAGAAGGCCATGCCCACAAGGAGGCGTCAGTCTGACTGTGACCTGATTGGCAGATTGGACCCAACCCCTACACTTATTTATCAAGTTGACATGAAATTATGTAACTACCAGAAGACTGATGTTTGTGTGGCCCATTAGCCCATTGGACTAATTGGTTCCAGGTGTCTTTTCTCCCCTAGATAGGGAGCGGCCAGTAGTTGCATCGTGTTGTGACTGTTAGGTGACATTGAGTCAGTTTTGACGCCTAATGACCCTAAGGATAAGTAGAACTGCCTCATAGGGTTTCCAAGGCTGTAGTCTTTATAGAAGCAGGTTGCCACATCTTTTTCCCATGGAGCTGATGGGAAGTTTGAACTACTGATCTTTTGGTGAGCTTCTGAGCACTAACCACTACACTCCCAAGACTCTTTTTCTTTTCCAACTTTATTTGAACTAACACCAAATTAGAAACAGTCCAAATATTCATCAACAGGTATATGGATAAGCAAATTATGGTATATCAGTACAATGGAGTATAATTCAGCAGTGAAGAGGGATGAACTATTGATATATGCGAGACTCCAGACTATAATACTAAGTGAAATTTTAAAGCCAACCCAAAAAGTATAAACAATATTCAGTTTATAGAAAAGTATAGAAAATGAAAACTGTGTACTGACAGAAAGTAAACCAGTGGTTTCCTGCAAGGGGTGAGAGGCCTGGATTGGGAAGGATCCCTGAGGCACATGGGAAAACTGGGGGAGATGGGTATGTTTAATATTTTGATTGTAATGTAGTATGACAGGCATGTGCATCTGTAAAAATATCCACTTATGTACTGTTTTATGTTTGAATTATGCCTCAATTAAAAAAATTAATACTAGGGTAAAATAAATAGCCTATGTGGGATGGGATCAAGGGCAGTGGCCATCTTCGAAAATACAGTCTACCCCTTTTACTAAGTGTTAGCAGCCCAACCCAGAGCACCACATGATAATCTCAGAAAGTTGAGGAGGGGGTCAATTATTATTATTTTCATTTTCATCATAGAAACATGAAGATGTGGTCCCTGGGAGGGTAGAGTGTTTTCTGGGCTCATGTGATGAGGAACTCAGGGGATTTCTCCCTCAGCTGTGACAGAAGCCACTGTCAGCCTGGTAGGCTTCTTGGGACCATTGGGAAGGAGGTACACTTTGGAAAATGCCATGGAGATATTGTGTGGCGGAGGCAGGGGCCAGCATAGGGCACGAGTTTGGGCTTTCCCCCACTCTATTTGTTCTGCTCAGCCTCTGTTGGGAAAGCACGCCAACCTTCCCCTGAGAGCTGTCATGTCACAACTTAAAAGTCTACAGAGCTCCGCGGACACTGCTCTACCTCTTTCCCAGTTAGGAATGACCCAGCCTGGTCAGCTCATTGAACCGGCTTAGTTTAGGCAAACACACAATCTAGGTGAGGTTGGTGAACAGCAGCCTTGGCCCTTTGCTTTCTGCTGAGGTCCAGGGCTCCCTTTTGGACAAGAGAGTGAGAAATACAAAATTCAAAATAGTGGTTACTTCTGGCCATATGTAAGAGGAGAGGGTTGACTATTAAGAGAGTAACAAATGTTTCCTAAATTTGGGGATGGGCTCTTTTGTATGACTCCAATATTATGGAATGAGAAATGATTGTCTATAGAAAAACAGTAGGAACCCTGATAGTATAGTGGTTATTTGTTGGGCTGCTACTGGCAAGGTCAGCAGTTCAGATCCACCAGCCACTTCCAAGGAAAAAGATGAGATTCTTTAGTCTCGGGAACCCACAGGGACAGTCCTATCCTGCCCTATAGGGTCACTATGAGTCAGAATGAACTCGATGGAAGTGAGTTTGGTGAGTGTGGGAGGCAGACAGTGTGGAATATGACTAAGGGAAAAGACACCGGAGTCACTTAAAGGTCTGAGTCCCAGCACCCTTACTTTCTACCTTTGTGACTTTGGAAACGTTATAGCGCCTCCCAGACCTCCATTTCCTCATCTGTAAAATGGAGGTGTCTTGGTTATTGTGCTGCTAAAGTAGAAATACCCAGAGTGGGTGGTTTTTAAAGATAGATTTGTTTTCCCCAGTAAGGAGGCTAGCAGTGGGAAATCTGGGCCCAGACTCTAGGGGACAGGCACCTTCTCTCTGTTGGCACTGGAGGAAAGTTTTTGTCCCGTGAGCTTCTGCTTCTGCTTGATCTTTGTGTGACTTGACTCACCTCTTCTTCTATCTCTTACTTGTTTAATCTCTTTATATCACAAATATTAGATAGGCTTTATTGCCATTTGGTTCAGGTATTAATTTATCCTGTGTTATGTGAGGCTCATCCCTAGGCAGGATTATAAATGAAGGACGGAAGCTCATCCCACTAGTATGATTAATGTGGGAGATGTAGGTTTTAAGATGTTGACACGCCTACAGCCCACATCTAGTATATTAGTATTTTAGTATATTCTTCATGTTGACTTTGGACTCTCATCTTCTTTTTAAATTAATTTGCCATCTACAAGATTGAAAAAAAAAGATAAGCTAAAATCATGTTAATTAAGGAGTCTAATTGATTTTGGAGTCCCTCAGAGGCTCAAGTGGTTCTGATGCTTTTTCAGATGTAATGTGCCCCTGTAAATAAATACTGCTCACATCGATAGCCAGTGCAGGAGGTGGGTGGGTTGTAAAGGCAGTAGGGTGCATGCTTTATTTGAGGAGAAATACAGTAAACACTCAATTACTAGCTGAAAGTTTTGGGGTTGATTGAATTCACCCACAAGTGCCTTGGAAGATCGGCTTTGCTCCTCTGCTTCTGAAAGGGCATAGCTCAGTTCTACACTGTACACCTGGCACCCACATGAGTCAGAAAACACTAACCGGCAACCAACAGAAATACTCAAATTTGATTAGCTCTTTAAAGTTTTTTCTTGCAATTCCAGCATAAATAGGTTAGGCATGCACAATAGGATAGGGACTGTTTAACTAGATTTGTATGATGCTAGAAACTGCTTTTTGATGAAATGTGTTAATATTTTAAGAATATAAGTTTTAGAGAGCAAGGGTCAATTTAATGTTCTTTACATATAGCTTGAAAGAATAAAACAGTGAATAATAATTTCAAAATAATATTCCTTTAAACACTTTTGGTTAAATTTCATTTTAACTCACTCTCACTGCCATCAAATCAATGCTAACTCATAGCGACCCCTGTGGGCTTCTGAGACTAACTGTTCATGGGAGGAGAAAGCCCATCAGTACCCATTAATGTAAGTATATTAATATAAAATTATGAAATAGACAATTTCGAATGGTTTTATTGTATTACGTGTTTTGATGCCAATTTGACATTTTAAATGAAAATATTAAGAGATTATATTTTTATCCTTGTAAACCAACAGACATCAAAATTCACAAGTTCTTCAGATATTCCAGTGGAATTTATAAAAAAGAATGTTAAACTACGTGGACGATTACATCGAATAACTGAAAATGGTTTAGAAATTGAACATATTCCTATTACTTTACCTGTCATATCATCTTGGAAAAGTAAGTAAGGTACTAGGAAACTTAAGATTAAATAGCTGTTTGTAGCATTCTCTGCTTAGGTGTTGTTAATAAACAATCCTTGATAATTCTCTATTGATTATCTGTGAGAGAAAATGGAAACTCTTCATACAAGAATCTGTTTCATCATCCTCTAGATTTCCTTTCTACTTTTCCTCCTTTTTTTTATTCCACCACTCAGTCTTTTATTCAGGAATTCAATCATTCATTCCACAAACATTGAGCCTCTGTTATATTCTAGATCACTGGTTCTCAACCTGTGGGTCGTGACCCCTTTGGGGGTCAAGAGACCCTTTTACAGGGGTTGCCTAAGACCATTGGAAAACACATAAATATTTCACAATATATAATTACATATTTTTTGTGATTAATCACTACGCTTTAATTATGTTTAATTATATTCAATTTGTAATAATGAAAATATATCCTGCATATCAGATATTTACATTATGATTCATAACAGTATGAAAATTACAGTTATGAAACACAACAAAAATAATTTTATGGTTGAGAAAAATGTAAGGACATGAGGAACTGTATTAAAGGGTCACAATATTAGGAAGGTTGAGAACCAATGTTCTAGATCGTAAACTAGCTGTACAATGTTGAGTGAAACAAACAAGGCCTCTCTTTCTGCTACAGTCTTGGTGGAAGAGCGACAGCAAACAAATGAAAAATTGTGCTAAGAACTACAGCATAAAAGAACAGGGTGCTAGGATAGAGAATTATTGAGGGTCGTGGAAAGGAGAGTCTGTATTTACAGAGTAGTCCGAGAGAGCCTTCCTGACTAGTTGTTCACTGGAGACCCAAAGGATGAGAAGAACACGGGTGGGGGTGACATTGGCTCTGTGATAAACGATTTGAAACCTCTGATGGCCAGGACACAGGGATTAAAAGAGTGAGCGGCACCAAATGAGGCTTGATAGCTCATATCTCTGATGGTAACAAATGTTTTTGACCTAGCTGCTTCTATTATGAAGTTGTTCCTTGTCACGAATCTACTTACAATACTATATGAAAGCAATACATATCAGTTGCTATTATATTATGTGCTATCTTTTAAAACTCTTTCAAAATATTGAGTCACAATTTCTCATCCATGCTTGTGAAGCAGAAATCGAATGGACTCGGCTGTAGTTGGTTTTAGTGTTTCTCTTCAAGGTCCACGGTCTTTTCCTTACGCAGCCTGCTAACTCTGCCTCCTCACCTTCTAGGCGTATTCTGCTACGCTCAAGTCCTACCTTTCTGACAGAGTGCTCTTTGGCTGCTCCACTTGAGCCCATGTCACTGTCCCCTCCTCAGCATCATCTGTCCTGTCCTCCACTGTGAACTGGGCTTTTCTTCTAATGTGTGTACAAGACTCTACTGATGGTGTGGGACGGTAAAGCAATTCACACCACAGGAACACAAAACCTAAATTAGAAACGGTAGACTTAAAAAAGAGTTTTATTGGCATATAATGTACATACAGTGCAACCCAATAGTTCAGTCATTCTGAGGAGAGCTGTGCAGTCATCACCACAGTCCATTTTAGAACAGTGTCATCCTGCAGCCATTGTTAGTAGCTCCCATTTTTCTCCAACTTCCCTGCCCCATCTTTATGTAATTAATTCAGATACTGTCTCTATAGGTTTACATAGCTGGATTTCATATACAGAAAAACACACACACACACACACACACACAAAACCAAGGGAAGAAAACCCCCCCAGCAGGAATGACTAAATGAGACAGAGAAAGAGTGACTGCTTCACTAGGAGGAGGATCAAATAGAGCCACACCATAAGAACGAATGGTTCTTACTCAGAGAAGGGCTACAGTTAAGTGTGAGGCCACAGCAGTTCCTATATTTATGGTTTGTATATCTCCCTGGTTCACTTTAGAGACATCGTTATGATTTTATTGGAGAACATTATAAATCATAACCCTGAGTCTTGATAGTTCTGTTGATAGTATTATTTTAGCTAAGGGTATAGAATTTTAAACACTGTTGAGAAAAGGAACTTATGCATGTATAGGCCAGTTTAAAAATTCTCAGTACATGAATTGTTGATTTGTACAGACTAACAGCTTAAGTGACAGCACATTAGTTACACAAACAGAGTTGAGGAGAGGGCAAAATTTCAGTAACATTCGTTCACAAAGGCAGAACCATGTCTGCTATTCTAATACATATGAAAAACAAAACAAAACAAAAATAGCATGAACATAGTAGATATACAGTAGACCCAGGCCACCATTCCTTGGGCACCCTCAAAGGAAGAGATTCGAGCCAAAGTCTAATGACCACAAATTCTATAATCTGCTTCTTCTCACAGGAGGGTGTTGCAGCCTCAAGTCCAAGGTGGTACAGTGATACCTTGGCTGTGCAATGGCTCCAGGCTCAAACTTTCCACTACTCGAACAGCCAAGTTCACACACACAGAATCGCAGTGTTCATAACTGCACTCCATACCAGAAATCCGACTTGAAAAGCCTGGTCAGGCCAAGAGTGAGTCATGCTGCAGTTCGCAGCCGCGCTTGCTCAGACAACATACAGTGCTGTGTACGTGTGCTTTTTTCCTTTTTTGTGCTTTATTTGCTTACAATATCATAACCTTGGCCTCAAAGAAAGTTAATGATACCAGTAGTAAAGCTAAGAGGAAAACTGAGAATCATGATAGAGTTAAAGAAAGAAATTATTGGAGAAATTTGAATCAGGTCTCTGCTTGTGTGATTGAGGAGAGGGCTAAGTCGATATTGTCAACACTTTTGAAGTTAAAAAAAAAAGTGATTAAAACAGCTAATGTAGCAAAAGGTGTGAAATTGTTAAAATTGTTAACCATGAAACAAAGAACCCAGACCATTGAAGAGGTTGAAAAGTTCCTCTTAATTTGGGTAAATCAGAAACAACTTGGCAGCAATACGGTGTCCAAGACAGTGATGCGAAAGAAGGCTAAAAGCCTCCATCGTGAACTTTCAAGTGTAATTTGGGGGCTTTGGAACCAATTGTTTGGTTTTCCATGATTTCTGGTGTTTGCACATGATGGTGGAACCAATTGGGTTAGACAACTGAGGTAGCACTGTATTTCAGGTCCTGAAATTTGCTACAGGTGACTTTAAAGTAAAGTCCACTTTGCTTCCTGGGGTGGGGGTGGGGGTTCCAAATCAGATCCTCCCGATATGGCCCATGAAGGATGCTGTGCACCTTGAAAGGACAGGGTCTAAAGTTCCAGTTGTCTGTTGCCTGTAACCTGGGTTCCCAAGGTCTGGACAGAAACTGGGTCAAAATGTCCAACTGGGAACATGAAAAGGGGTGGATTTTCCCCTTGGGGACTAATAAGTACTATGAAGTGTTTTCCCAATGACAAGGTCTCCCACCTATGAAAAGAGACTTAAAAATAATACTTGCTTTTTCTATAATTTTGGAGAAACTACAGGCATAACTGACCTTGTTCAGTTTATTCATTACTGAACAAGGAAGTGTTAATTGTGAAATTCTTGTTGACCACATTGTATTTTAAATACTCAAAGAGGGACTTGGTGATTTTAAAGCAATCCAATGATCTTTTGTCAAGGTTTTGATCCCAGAAGCTTTGGTCTCGAAGAGGAAGAGAGCTTTTATTGGAAGACAGCTGGGTGGTGTTGATGGCAAAAGGAAGGACTGGCGTGAGACCTCAACACACTTAGCTTCCCTGAACCCATTACGTTGCAGTGAATCACCTAATCTTCATAATATGCTCTGCCTGAACCTAATTTATGTTTTCCTGTAGCATAAAGTTTTTGCTAGAAAAAGTCCCACTGACAGTGCTCCAAGTATTCACTGTAGCTTTTCAATTATTTTAAAATGATTTTTCACTGTAGCGTAGGTGGGAGTCTAACATTTCAGACCATGTCCTCTGTGCTCAACAGTTCAAGCCCCTCATCCACCTGCCAGGTATTCTACCTCATTCTGGCCCCTATTTTACCTTTTCTTTCTTGTGGGCCTCCACCCTCTTTCCCCAGAGTCAGCACTTGTCAACACTCTAGTCCATTGTCTCTTCTCCTCCCCTCCCCCCCCTTTTCCTCTCCTTCTTAGCAATCTCCAGAAGTCTGTTCCCGTTGGTATGTAAATCTCTGTCTTGGTTTTTATCCTTAGAGTAGTGGTCTTCAGTATTTTTCCTTTGTGATTGACTGACTTCACTCAGCATATTTTTCTTTAGGTCCACGCATGTCACGAGGTACTTCAGGTTTCATCATTGTTTTTTAACCATGCATCGTATTCCATTCTAAGGATCTACCAAAGCTGTTGTATCCATTATCCTACTGATGGGTATTTGGGCTGCTTCCAACTTCTTGCTGTTGTCAACAGTGCTGCAGTGAACATGAGAACGTATGTATCTGTTCACGTCACTGTGCTTACTCCTTGAAGTACATACCCAGTAGTGGTATCGCTGGATTGTACTGAATCTCTTTTCCCAGTTGTTGTAGGTGGCACCATATCACTTTCCACGGTGATTGTACATGTTTACAATCACCTACCCCAGGGGATGAGGGTTCCAATCTCTCCACAGCCGCTCCAGTATTTGTTGTTTTCTGGTTTTGCTTTTTTTCCTTTAAACTTGGCTGTAAGTAATATCTCACTGGTGCTTGATTTGCAACTCCTGATGACCAGTGATCATGATCTTCATATATTTGTTGGCCATTTGGCTGTCCTCTGCAGTGAGCTGCCTGTTCATGCCCTTTGCCCACTTTTTAATTGAGTTACTCATCTTTTCTTACTGAACTGTTGTAGTTTTCTCTAGTGTTAGAGGTTAGTCCTTTGTATATATGTCATTCTCAAAGATTATTTTTTCCCACTCTTGGTGTTCTCTTTTGTTACTCTTTCCATAAAGTCTCTGCTGCACACAAGTGTCTTATTTTCAGTAGGTCTCAGGCATCTAGTTTGTCATCCATTGTGTGTGTCTACTCCCGTAATAGGGCCCTTACATTATTCCCTTTTTTTATTGACGAGCCCTGGTGAC